CCCCCCCCCCCCCAGGACCCCAGGTGGCAGAGTCAGGGCTCAGCTGATGGGAAAACATGAGGGATTACTCTCGATGAAAGCAGATCCTTTATCTGAGACCATTACCTTCCTCTGGGTCCCACTCAAGGGTCTCAGCCCAACTCCACCTCACACAGGAGCCCTTTAGGGCCCAGCCAAACTATCCACCTTGGCTGGGCACCTGGCTGTTACCCCTGGGCACCCCCGTGACTTTGAATGGCTTCTCAGTCCAGGCCGGGGTCACCTGAGCCTTCTGCACAGACTCCACACACCTCTGCACGGAGGACTGGCTGCAAGGGGCTCCCAGTGCAGGGAGAGGTAACACACCCACCTGCCCCCCAGGGGAAAGGTGCCAGCACCCAGCTCCACCCAAGGAGGGCCCTCTGCTCCTGGGCGTAGGTGGCAACCAGGGAAGGCTGCTCAAGGGCGGTGACCCTGAGCTGAGTCTTAGCAGGAGGAGGCGCAAGCAGCCAGGGGGTGGGGCATTCTGGGAGAACAACGTACTCACACTAGAATGGGGGCTGCTCTGTGCCAGGCACCTGCAAGGCCTGGAGCCACACGACACAGACACATTCTCACAATGCCAGGAAAGTAGACCCCCTGGTTCTCTGCACCAGGCAAGGCAGCCACTTTTGCCCTCTGCCCCCTGCCCCGACCAGCACCCACCTCCCTTACTTTCTGCCACTTCCGTGCAGACCAAGCTCCTCAAGACCTCCTAAGACACCCAAAGAAGCCCCAAGCACAGAAGAAAAGCAGGTCTACCAGGGGCTCATGGGGGAGGGAGAGAAGGAGAGAAGGAGGGAGGGTCTGGGGGCAGGACGGGGCCCCTCCGGTCCCAGCTCACAGAGAGAGCCCGGGGAGCCAGCCACAGCGCTGGCTCTGCCCTAACAGCAGCCGGGCAGATACTCAGCTCCCAGGTAAACCCTCCATATGGTTCCTTTCCAGTTAGAAATTGGGCCAATTGCTACATTTCCCCCCCTATCTGGGGAGACAGATGGACAAGGGGAGGAGGCTGGCTGAGGGGTTAGGATGTGCCACCTGGCTCCAGGAGGGAGGAGGGGGCCAAGGGGCAGAGGGGAGGCAGGCATAGAATAGGAGTTAATTGTTCTCAAGGAGGGAGAAACTTTTAGATTAAGTCATATTTCTGGGCAATGCTCCCCTAAGAAGTTCCATAGGATGGCCCCACCTGACACGCCAGGGTATATCTTGCCGGCTTCGTTTTGCTGGTGAAAGAAGAATTAGGTGATCACGGCTCGTCAGCTCAAATGTGAGCGAGTCACAAGGTACTCGAGATGAGAGCTGGTCTGGGCGGGATGCGATATTCTTACAACCACAAGCGTGGGGGGACCGAAGGGGAGTTTGGGGATTTATGCAGAGCTCAGTACCGGTGAACGTTTATAAAGCGCCTAATGCCTTTGAATATTATTCTGTATATTCTGCATGGATTCACTCATCTGAGGTCAGTATCATCAGCACAGCTCCAATTTAGAGATGAGGACGCAGAAATGTAGAGAGGTTAAGTGGCTTCCCCAAGGTCACACAGTCAGGCACAGAGTGGGGTTTGAATGCAGGCTGTCTGGCTCCTGAGACCACCCCTTTGCCCAGTCCAGTGTGTCACGACCGGTCACCTGGAGTCAGGGACCACCCGGGACCCGTAAATATGGCTGGGCACAGGGCTTACCCTGGGCTAAGTACCACTGGTGTCACTGGCCCCACAGTGAGAAACCAAGTGTCTCCACGGCCCTCCTGACCCCGCGCCACAGCCAGAGAGGACTGGAGTGGCCCAAGACGGACCACATTTACTAAGCACCCACGGCATGTCTGGCACTCAGTGAATCCTCACACAACCTGGGGCAGGGGCTAATGGCCCCATCTTACAGATGTGGAAACTGAGGCTCAGAGGTGCTAAGTAGCCTGACGGAGGTCACATGGCTGGTCAGTGGGCCTGTAATCCAGGTCTGTGTCCAGAGCCTCCCTCCGGCAGAGAAAGGGAAGGCCCCAGTCGCTGGGTCTCTGTTAACCCCCATCTCCTGCAGCCCCTCCCCACCCCTGGGAAGACCCCAAGTCTCATGCTAAGCCCGCCAGCCTTCCCATGTCCAGCCCCTGCCTCCGCAGCACCATGACTAGCACTCCCCTGGGACGCCCTCTTCAAACCTCTCCACCAGGGCGGGGGCACTTCTCTGCACCCCTCCTCCTTTACCACACGGACTCTCTCTTTGGATAAAAAAAAAAATCCATGAGTCCATACTGAGAGCAAGTATAATCAAATTAAACCCAAGCAGCGAGGAACGAGCCCATGCCCTATCTCTGCACAGAAGCCGGAACACTCTACCTGTCCCAGGCTCCAGGAACAGGATCATAAGAAGGGGGGCATGAAGGAGTCTGGGGTTCCCCGTGGCTCCCCTAGGCCTTCCTGGGCCACTCTTGGCAAGCCCCTCACCCCACACACAGCCCCAGCCCCCTGTCCAGCACCAGTTGCCACATGCCAGCTGCAAGCTCCACCATCCGCCCAGCCAGTGCCTCCGTTCAGGGCCAGGGGCAGGAAGCCACAAGCACTTGCCAGGAGCTTCTGAGTGCCTGGGGGCATTAGGGACCTTGGAGAGCTCCTGGCCCAAGTGCTCTGGGAACAAGGAGACTGAGAGCAGACTGCACCAGGGGGTCTAGAATCCTACAAGCCAGTGTGTCCCCCTCCACATCCTTCCCAGAGAAAGTCACACACGGGTGCAAGGGAACGTGCCCAAAGACAGTCACTGTGGCGCTGTTCGAAACAGCAAAAAAATGGAAACCATTTAAATATTTTACAACAGAAGAATGGCTAATCTGTGGTGTGTTTGCACAATGGAATATTATGTAGCTAAGATTCATAAAACAGCTCTCATGTATCAGCACGACAAAACCCTGAAAACATAAAGTTGGCTGATAAAGCAAAGCGCAGCACAATCTGTCCCATTTAGGTAGAAATTAAAAGCCACATACAATAAGATTTATTCTATATGGACACACACATATATACGAGCAAAAGCTGCATGAAGGCAGAGTCGTTCTATTGTATGCACTTCGATCTCCCAGTGCCTGGCACACATTAGGTGCTCCATAAATGCTTGTTGAATGACTAAATGGGGACAAGAAGGGAACTCATCCCCTTCAGAGTCGTGGGTAGAGGGTACCTCAAGGGAGGCAGGGATAGAACAAGACTGAGGGCTCCGTGAAAGGGCTTCCAGGCAATCCCCATTTTATTTCTTGAAAAAAAAAAATCAGAAGCAAATACAAGATGTAAAGATGTAAATGCTTGGTAAATGTGGACCCCAGAACCCAGGCCAGACCAAACTTTCAGACACGAGTGACAGTGAAGGCATTCAGTCCCTGTGTGTACTGCCCTGAGCCTCTTTGTGCATCCGTGACACGGGGTCACTCGGCCACTCCAGGCCCGGTGGAATCCACAGGACACTGAAGGGGAAGCACATGGGAAGCCCACCTGGGGCTGCCCTCCTCCTGCCGGCCATCTGGCTCCCG